TTTCAATATCTTAAAAACAGTGAAATGAGCAATAAATAACGTAAAAGAATACAAAAACAAAAAATTCCGAAAAGCAAAGTATAATTAATGATATTTTATCTTATATTTTCAAGAGAAAAAAATTACAATGGAATAAGCTATATACCTTAATACAAATAGTAATTATCGTAATAAAAAAAATTAGCAAACTTTCTGTTGAAAAAAAAAGATCATGCAAAATTTTTCAATATCTTACAAACAGTAAAATAAGCAAAAAATAACATGAAAGCTACTCAAAAAACATAAAATTCTGCACAGAATTTTATTCTGCAGAACAACTTTATAAAAAAAATCAATAAAAATGTATTATATATATATGTATATATAATTTATTTCCTAAACAGTATTGATTAAATGATTATATTATCTCGTAAGTTTAATTAAAGTAGAATTATTTTAAAAGTGTGTATCCATACTGGTAAGTTATATTTTGAAAGATGTTTTGAAGTAATTTGAAAGCAAAATGTTAATAATGTTTTAACGGGGACTGGAGTTAAATCATCACGAAGAATAATATTACAATTGTAAAAGGAAAGATTAAAACATGTAATTATTGTCATTGATCGGAAATTAGTTAACTTTTCAAGGGGAACAAACCAACTCCCTTTCAATGAACAATAATTGTGTTGCCAAATCCACATTTTTAAAGATGCGAAAAGTGTACTCGGAAGCTTCATTAAAAAAAAAAAAAAATTTAATACAAAATATTATCATTTTTCCAAAATTCTTTTTGTAAAAGCAGTCGCAAGGATAAAAGTTTAAAAGTTTAACGTGTTCAAAAATCAAAGAAAAATAAAGTGTACACGTTTAAAAATAAACTTTTTAAGAAAAAATCCCGTTGAAAAGGTGTTAAGCTCCCTTTGTTAAATAAATTCGTATTTAATTCATTTATTGAAACACAAAATTTATTTTAAGTTCGTAAAATAGCTAAGTGCCTACGTTTCATGACGATGTGAAAATCGAGTGTGTAGAGTAAAAGCTCGCTTTCCTATAGCCCATTATGTCTCAAAATGACATGATTTCGTCACAAAACATAAAATAAAAAAAAATCTAATTTCAATTTCGAAAAAATCACTACGAGGTGCATTGGCTCTTGTCTAGATGCACCTATATACCAAATTTCGCAGCCGTGGGTCTATTAGCTTACGTGCAGCGCGAGCGAAAGACAGACACACACACAGACAGACTCTTTTTTTTATTATATGTTGAGATGTTCTCTCGGATTTCAAAATCATGTATTTGTCTGCTTTCTCTGTGTGAAGCATAAAAGCAGTAAGCAGTGATAGTATAATTATACAATTTTAGCATTTTATACTTAAAACTATTTAGTTGAATGTTGGCTGTTGTGTCATAGAAGTATATATGAAGTTTTAATTTAGGTCACAATAATGTAGTTATTATTATTATTTACTTTTGCATACTTTGAATTAAAATATATTTAATTTATAGAAAACATAATTTAGTTATTGCATTGCTGAAAATAATATATTATCTTTTCATATTTATTCAGATTTTATGTATGGATAATAGTTTATTTAATGTGTTTTCATTTCTAAATTTGCATTGATTTTTATGAATTAAAATTTTAAAGCTTTGTGTTATATTTAGATGTTTAATAACAACAGGTACTTAAAATGTCTTCCTATGTACCCACCCCATAAGAAGAAGCAGCCCATTTTATGTGAAAGACAGCTAATTTTGAAATTATTTAATTCTTTCATTTTCAAATCTTAAATGTGCAGTTATATTTTTAAAGACATTTTGGTTTCTTTTGAAATTTCTTCCTATAACGTGTGTATTTGGTTGAATAGCATTCAATGTGTATCCCCAAATTTTTGCATCTTTATAACAGGGTTGCCACGCTACCTGGAGAACCGGGAAAAGTCAGGGAATTCGAAAATTGACCAAAATATTCAGGGAAAAGTCAGGGAATTTAAGTATGTTTGTCAAAATCTGGAAAAGTCAGGGAAGTTCATACAAAGATCCAGCCAAAAAAAGCGATTTTTTGCGCCGACGTCGGAAGAGGTAACTTTTTTGGCGAATTATGTATCACGTGAGTGTCATTCGGGTAGCTGGCATAGAGCCAATTTTCGAAGCTCCAATTTGATTGTCTTTTAGAAAGGCAAAGCAACTTTTGGTTTCCAATATTCTCGAGAATCGCATGTGCAGTGCATGAACTAAAGAAAGTACCTGTTCTCGTATAAAACAAAATGGGTTTAATCCTAGTATACGGTACCATGGAGGTTAGAATCAAAGAATATGTATTGTAAAGAAGGAAAACCTCTCTGCAACAGACGTGGCTGTGGCTCCGTTCCATCACAGAGGGAAAACAGCTGTGCATGTCTGATATATCTGTTGCCAAAGCTCGAAACCGGTGTCGAAGTTCGAAGGTCACGTTATCAAGAGTTCATAAAATGAATATCGTTTAAAATTTCTTTAACCACTTGCGCTAAAAAGACGTGCCACGCACGTCAAGATGCTTTTGTCTCAAACCGCGAGCGACGTGAACACGTCGATAAGCATTTATCGCAAAAATGAAAATAACGTGGTACACACGTCGCCTAACAACGAGATTGTTTATTTCTCGAGTTACAGCTCTGGATTGCACTCGCAGATGCGGAGCGGCGTAAATGAGACACTTTACCGCTTGTTATATTGTAGCGCACGGCACCGCAACCGTGAAGTTTAGTCTTAGCGCAAGTGGTTAAACTCTAAAGGAAAAGAAAATATTTTTTGGCGCAAGTTAATTAATTCATGGATTAGTTATTTTCAGGGGGGGGGGGGAAAAAAAAAAAAACCTACGAAAATCCGTTTTTAAAATTATTGCGAAAAATCCAAGAAGAAACGTCCTTTGATAAAACGTTTCTTCTTGGATTTTTCGCAATAATTTTAAAGCTGGATTTTCGTAGTTTTCTTTCTGTCAAAAAGCGTTTCTTCTTAAACACGTGTTTCTCAATTTCCTGTACACATCGCGGAGAGGGAAATTCTGGCCGCCAGGTTTCCGTCGCCAAATCCCTTGGCAAATTTTCCCTCCGCATTCTAGCGGCGTAATAGCATTTTACTGTCTATGGAACCTTTTCTTCTTTACATAGACGTTCTTTGGTTAGAATAACCTCCATGATACACACGGGATTTGGCGACATCTGTGATGCGCAGTAAACAAGATTTGGGTCATTATTTGAGCGGTAAACGGGTCGTTTTGGTGGCGACAATTTTCAAAATCGTGCCAAAAGCCTTACCGTATACTAGAATTTTACCGCAAATCTTTTTAAAACCTTTTTTTTTTTTTTTTAATAAATACCTTAATTGCCATTTTTCAGTAAAATAAAAAAAAAAAATAGTAATCAGTCATCTAGGCTAAGCCATGTAATATAACTATATTCGCTAAAATATTCGTTGATTATTCTAATTCAATTTTTAAGTAATTATCTTTATTTTATGTTATTATTTGTTATTTGTATTTAATGTTCGCTTCTTCCCTCTAAATTTATTTATTATTAGTAAATAATATTTCCAAATTTCAGGAAATTTTCTCTGGCATAATCCTGAAATTAATTATAGCAGTATGATGACATACCAAATTTAATACAAATTTAATGCACATATTTTTTCCTTATGTATGCTGCGAAATAAATATAAAATACCTCAATTTATTAAAAATAGATTTAAATAGTTTTCTTTTCGTTTAGCTGCAGAATGTCTGCAAAAAAAGCCTTATTTTATTCCAGATTGGTGAAGATTCTAATTTCAATCTTCAGTGGAGAAAACAACTCCTATTATAGTTATGATAGTATGCTTTGGAGATAATAATTATGGCAAATTTTTGTGTTTTCAAGTGTTAAGGTGCCTTTTAAGAACATACCTCACGCAAATTAAATTTACCTAAAATCTAACCTAACTATTTAGCATTGCATTGTGATTTATAAGGACCGGATTAGCCTTGTGTTGAACTGGTGATGATCATGAGTAATAATTAAATAAAACATACATTTGTTATCCAATATATATATCTTAAATTTTATTAAGTTTCTTAAGTGGAAAACTAAACAAAATTATCAAACAAAGTATATCAAGAATAATTAAGAATAAATGTCCTCTGGGATTTATTAAATAATTAAGTGAATTTGCTACACAATACAAGTAATACCATAATTAATTTACCTCTTAGTACAGCCAACGTACATTACGCGGATAGACTGGAATTTTCTTGAAATACACCTGGAAAACCTGGAAAAGTCAGGGAATTTCATTCTCCTGTTTGAGTGGCAACCCTGTTATAAGGTATTATCACTTTCACCCATGCATCCTGATATGGTGTGAATGATTATTCGGTTAGCAAATGAAAGATCCACGATTCAAATCCTAGTGAAGCCCCACCTAATTTGTCTCATTTCCTGTCTATTTAAAATGTAATGGAATGTGCAGTGGCACCTGAACTAAAATATGGTGGATGATAATTTGTAACCGCATGCCGTTTTGAAATCTGGGTCTTATATCTATTCTAGTTCACCTTTTAAGGAGTAGAGAATTTAATTATCTAATTTCCGTGTATATAGTCTAATGGTGTAAGTGGTTAACAAATCCAGTTAGCAGTTGGAAGATCTATGTTTTGAATTCCAGGGAGGACACAGCTCAGAGATTATGGTAGACTTATTCTTTATATCTTAAAGATAGTGTCATCAATTTTACTTCTAAACATGATGCAAATATGGTCTGAAAGATGCACAGTTGTATTGTGATAGTTGATAAATCCTCTCCTCATTTATATGTAGTATTTTTTAGTTGGTATATTGGCTCCCCCCCTTTTTTTTTTGCCTGAGTATATTATTTTAAGCCTTTTTTATGTTTTTCTTTTGTATGTAATAAATATGATTGCAAGATGTAACATTCATTAAAGTGGTCTTCAGTAAAATGAATGGTAAAGAAATTAAATTATTTTAAATGTTCTTCCTTTTATCTAGAAGGCGACGTAAGAGGCCAGAAAGTTTTGATTCTTCAAGACCTAAAAGAAGCCGTCAGGATTATCATGAAGGTTTTATTTCTAGCAAACAGCTTTTGCATATTTTTCATTTATATTATTATTATTTCATATTTATATAACTTGTATGAAAAGTGTTTTGCATGGAAATTTTATTTTTTTTAATATAATATGCATAAAAAGACATTATGCTATATTATTTAAAAAGTTGTAATTTTTTTATAATATTTTATATTAATAGAGAAAAATTTAACTGCCTGGTATGTCTTAAAAATGTTCTAAATTAGTGTTGTATCTTGAGATTTTTAATTACATGTAAATGTCATACTGAATTATGAAAATAAACAGGATGATTAAAAACAATATTAGTGCATATGGTTAACTGGACCTTTCAGAAACAACCTTCCCACTTGTGATGTACGATTTTGTCCTACTGAGACAAAAATGTAGATTAATCTATTTTACATTTTCTTTTCCCTTGTTTTATTCCTTCTCTTATTAAAATAGTTCATTTTATCACAAATCAGTTGTAATAATAAAGTTTGATTTTGGTGTATTTAACAATACTCTTTCCCCAGTCTATAAAGCTAAGTAATATTTTATATGTAACATTTCGGAGATTGGTGTATGCATTATCAAATAAACGGAAGAAAAATGACAATTTTGGTTAACAATATGCTAGATTCTTGCACATCTATAAAATATATTTTCAGTTGCTGTCATCAATCCTATTAGAATGATCAGGGTTATTAAATAATACGTTATCACTTAGTTTAAAATTATTTACAATGTTTTTGAAAGTCTCCTTTCTCCAAAAAACAACAACAAAAAATTATTTTGCTTCCTTGTAGTTTTCCTTTTGTATATTTAACTTAAGCCCATAGTTGATGAATTTAGCTTGAACAAGATAGAGCAAATCAAGTATGCTGTTACTGCTAGTTTCTCAATCTTAATCAGTTACATTATTGATAATTTAAATTTTGAAATCAATTATGTTATTTGTACTATATGTGTGTTTACTGTGTAAGTAACATGTATTTACTATAAATGTGAAAAGTACAGCTCTGATATTACTACAGTAAATACTTAGGCAACAGTTTAGCTATATGTACAACAGACTTCATCTGAGCATATTTTCGTCATGACTATTTTTCTTTCTGAAACTAAATTGTACCATGACAATATATTACTTTTTCCAGAAGGTATAAAGTAGTTTTTTCTGTCAGTCTTTACTTGAGACAAGGGGCATTGAACAAGATCCAATCTTAAGTATGGTGTAATACTTTTTGAATGATTAAGTATGTTGAAACGATTTCTTCGTACATTGAAAGTTTAAAAAAAAAAATGTAAACACCAGCATTATTTTATTTTTGAGAAATGTTGTCTATCAACGTATTTTTGTTGGTATTGAACATATCAAAGTTAAATGATTAAGTTCTTGACAAGAAGAGGTGCAGCATCAACAGATATTTATGAAGACATGATTGCAGTTTTTGGTAATATGATTTCTTCCTTTGCCACTTTCAAAAGGTAGGCTTTCATGTTTTGATGGGAAAACATCATTCAGAGTTGATCACAGATGAGGTTGCATACTGCATCAGTACAAAATGAGCTCAGTACAAAATCAGTGGGGTAAATCATGTTTGGAAGCGGAAAATATCAAAAGTTTGTGCCAGATCAGTTCCTTGAATATTGGCACCAAAAATGAAGAAACATCACTTCAAATGTCCTTAAGAAATACTTTCTGTGATAAATGCTGATCAAAATTTTTATTCATGGCTACTGTTATGAGGGGAAACTTGGTCTTGCCATAATGACCCAGAAATGAAGAGAGCATGTTGACTCAACTCTGGCAATCCTAAAGTGCTGATAAACTCAGCTGAAAAATGTTGCTCTACTTATTCAACAATGTGGAATTCAGCTTCTCTCTCATCCACAATATTTGCAAGATCTGGTCCCAAGTGTCTTCTTTTTGTTATGCAGTACTTATATGTTTCAATATTTCATCACATTATAGTACTGCTGATGATTTTGTGGAATGATAATTCAAGAATGATGTTAAGGCTGTGACATAATATTTTTCTCTGTGGTGACATGAAGGTTGTGCTAAGGGCTTTCAAGATCATAGAACTATGTACAAAACTCAAAATATAACCACAGACTTTTATCTTTTCCATGTGTGCTCTGCTTGAAACTTATTGAATGATCTCTGTATACCTCTGTTTTGGAGAGTTCATTTACAGATGAGTGATAAAGTTGCTGAACCTGATTTGTTTGACATTCGCTCAGCTTCCAAGGAATAGGTTGGTGGTATGAGGTTTTTTTTTTGGGGGGGGGGTTCTGCAGATGCATATGAATTCATGGATATGAGCCAGTTTCTCTGAGAAAGTCCTCCACAAAGGTATCTCTCTCTCCCTTTGTGATTCCAGATGATCCCAAACCTGTCTTTTGCCATTGTCAAATGGACTTAAAACCTATCTTATCTCATTCCCTCACAGATGGCCTTTACTTCTTTTGTTATGGTTGAATAAATCAAACCAGTCTTTTGGATTGTGATTGCTTCATATTATGTTTTTTATCAGTCTTGTTGCTGTATGGGATTTAACATGATGGATTCAAAAATAAGCAGAAATGGGATTCGCTAGCTTTTGAACTGAAGCTGAAAGCACTGGAATACAATGGAGAGCGTAAGAATTGAATATGTAGCAAACTGAATGCTAAAAAAAATGCAGAATCTTATTGCCTGAAAAATTCCAAAAAAAGCTCATAAAATTCTAATACCCTAGCTAAAATAGAGTTCTTTTGAATGCTAGAATACTGAAGAACTGTGTAGCGACTATACGCTGAGTTCTTGTGTGTAAGTAACAACTCCGGAGAAGGGTTAAAATATCCTTTTATTCTCACTCAAAATATATTACAGATGGCTCCTCTTGGGCATACAAGAAGTCTCCACTTGGGCTTTAACTCAAAGTAGACAATATAAAACTAAACTAATGCTAGATAAATTTAATCAGCTGGAGCTGAATAGAATCAAACTCATGGAGATGGCCCTTAAGTAAAGATAACCGCACATATTAAATATGGCCATAGAAAAACAAGCTTTATCTAATAGCAACAATGTGGCCAAAAGGTAGAACTTGCTCTCCTACTGTTAGTAACCCAGACTTCAGTTGAAATACTAGTTTCTACCTTGTTTGCATAAATCATAATACTGAAAACTCATCCTGGCAGGGAAACGTAAGTAGAAAATTATAAGGTAAAGGAAAAGCTTGTTCTAAAATAAAAATAACTATTAGAAAAATAAAGTAAAACCCTATAATATCAATATTATCCTTTTTACTAACCCTCCAAAACAATGTTATACTTTGAAAAGTTTCTGTAAAGTCACCCTCCCACACACACAAGCAAATTTATTGATCATGAATCATTGATATATAATGAGCTACATCTCAAACTGTAAAGTAACTTTTATGCCATTGATATTACGTGTATAAAAAGTGGAATGATTTTATTTCAGTTCAGGATTTGAAATTTAATAAATAAAAATAAAAAGTTACTATTTTTGAAACTAAATATATGTTTCATAATATTTACACATATCATATGAATGTGTACGGAATTTACAAATAATCCACATATAAATTATGATTCTCTGTCTAATAAATGTTCTTTTGTGGATTTTTAAAAGCAGTTGCTTTTTGTTTGTCTGGACTAAGGTCTGGTACATAAATGATCTGTTAATTGTAAGCCTGCTGTTTATTTTTTAATGTTTTATTGTTGTTACCATTATTTTTAATTATGATATTAAACAATCAAGATTTTTTTTCATATGCATAATGTAAATTCATTTATGTGTTTTGTTTGTAATTCAGAGCTGATTTGTAACTCAGATGCAGTTACGGAATTTTACTTAAATTTTTACTATAGTGTCATTAGCATCAACCATTTCTCTTTCGTAACTGTAAATTTTTCTCTGAACCTTAAATTTACGAGTAGAATTTCAAATAAGTAAAATATTATTTCTAGTACATTCTGGTATATAATATATGGGGTACGAAAAAGTCATTGTTTTTTATCAAAAATTGGGCATTTACTGTGAAAGAACAGTGCACTATACAGTCAAAAGTCGTTAATCCGGACTCGTCGGGACTTCGGGCAATTCCGGATTATCGATTTTTCCGGATTATAGATCATCAGTTTAAATCTCGTTAGATAGCATGCAGAAATTCTAAAATTAAAAATATGAAACCGTAATTTATGAAATAAAGAACAATTATGATCTAAAGGGTATCAAAATTTGCAAAAAGAAAAAGCTTAATATTTATTTGTTTACTTTATTAAACATTTCTTTCAATGTAAGTTGTTTAAGTTTTGCTTCGTTTCATGTGATAAAACTTTCTCTTTAATTCTATTAAACAGACATAATTTCTTGTTCAGTTACAAAGTTCCGCTGTTCAAGTTCTATAATTGCTGTGTCAAGAAAACCGACTAATTTGTCAATCGAAATTAGTTCGTTTCTCAATAACCTCTGTCACTTTTCTTCGCTATCGGAAGCGAATTATAATGACAAAGAACTTGTTTTAAATCATATCAAAGACGGAGCATATCGAGATGAAATACTACATTTGGTAAGGAATTATAAGCCAAATAAAATAAAAACATCTGCGTTGAAGATAAGGATAGTGCTGACAGATCAACTTCCAATTCATTATGCGCTCGCCGCGGCGTTCCCCCCGCCGAGCAGCGTGAAATTGATAAACAGATTTCGGATTTCAAAAACATACTTTCGCTTTAGATCCTTTACATATTAACAAATATATATCGGAAATTCTATTTGATATAATCGAAAGTTTAAGCTTACTTTTATAAAATTGCTCTTACAGTCTGCAAAAAAATAATAAGCCGGATCCAATTCGAAAATTAAGGAACATCGCAATCATTAACATTAACTGAAATAGATAATTAGATAATTTTAGCTTATACGTCCATTATACATAAAACGCGCACACGAAAACGTATTCTGCACTTGCGCACACTCATATGCGCAGTCGTAAAAGGTCTTACACGCACGCGTAAACGCCTATGCGCATGTGTCAACGCGACGCATGCGCAGAAAGTTTTTAGTTTTGAGGTCCGGATTATAGATCATTCCGAATTATGGGTGTCCGAATTAACGACTTTTGACTGTATTTTATTCAAGTTATTGTCCATTGCTAGCCATTAATTTTTCCCATTTTCTGGCAGCATGCAGATACTGCATCAGAAGAATATTTAATCTTTCGAGGCTATCCACAAATAAACCCAATTTTTGGTATCTTCATATGATGTGAAGCGCTGCTGAGGAAGGCCATGCACCATCAATCCAAACAAGTAGTAATCAGAAGGAACAATGTCTGGTGAATACAGTGGAGGGAAGGACTTATTGTTTGACTATTTCCGAGTAGGGTTTTGACCAGTGCCACAACATATGGATGAGCATTATCATGCAGGAAAATAATTTTGTCATGTAGTAGTGGGCACATTTTTCTTTTTGTGCTCGGTTCAGTCTCATCAGTTGTGTTCAGTAGAAAGCCCTAGTGATGGTTTCGTTTAATTTGAGCAACTCCTACATGACACCAAGTTGATCACACAGCATTTTTTCCCCATTGCTGTTGGACTTGACTGTTGTTGCAGCATGGTTAGGTTGTTCCCCATTATTTCTTCTTCTTTGAGTTATCGTAATGGATCCATTTTTCATCACCAGAGATCTTACAATGAAAAAAAAAAAATTATTTATCCCTAGCAAGCAGTATTTCACATGTAAAAAATCACTATTCAACATTTCTTGGCTCCAGTTCATTAGGAACCCGATTTCCTTGCATTTGAATAATTCCCAATGATTTTAAGTGATGTGAAATTGCTTGTTGAGTCACTCCTAATGGCACGAGTCTTCAATGCTTCCAGTTCTTCATCTTCGTACACTTTCATCCTTCCATCTATTCTTTGTCTTCAGTGTCAAATGCACTGTTCTTAAACTTTTGAAACCACTCATGACAACTTTTCTCACTTAAGGCAGTATCAGTGGATGCTTCTACAAGAAATCAGTGATATGTCAAAAGAGTAAATGAAAGTTCCCTTAAATGATACTCATTTGGCTTGAAACTGAACATTTTTGAACGAAAAAATATATGATGCTGATACAAAATCGCTAATATTTCAAGGTTATGTTATTAGCAGATGGTTTAACTGTACAATATGATATTTCACGTCATGATTTTAACCATAACTCACTGGTGACATTTTTTTTCAAACAGACTTTTGTACTCCCAGTGTAATGTTTGTTAATTTTTACATGAGCATTTCCCCCCACCCCTTCTTCAAAGTATATGGGTTTCTCATTAATTCAGAATATAGGGACTATTAAAATTATTTATGTTGTGAAAAATATTCCAATTTTTATAAGTTAGCTGTCAACCAAATTAATATGAAAATTTATTATATTTTTAATATCATTATATGCATTATATATAATGTATTTGTTAATTTAACTAATAAGTATGCTGGAAGAGTAAATTCATAATTAGCACATTACCAAAATTTATCACTCTTAAAACAGGCATGAAATCAATTTTTTAAATACAATGAAAATTTATTCTGCTGAAAAAGTTAAACTGTTTAAAATATTCTGGGCAAATGTTATATGCAAATCCATATGAAAAAGGCATATTTTTCAAAATTTCATGTTGAATATAATTTTGTTTTAAAAATTTTTTTCTAAGTAAACTTGCATTTTGGATATCGTTATGTTGGCATAGTTTAGTGCATTTTTATTTATAACTAATGTTTAATTAAAATAATCAGATATTATTTTTACTTTTTTAAATTTCATTTTAAATATCATTTTTATTTAATTATTTTTTATAATATTTATTTATTTTAATTGCTTGTAGGTTACTACAAACCCATGTCAGGTAGAGAAAGGTAGGTATCATTCCTTGTTAATCTCATTGTATTTTATGCAGTTTACATCTGTTTAGATTTAAGAAAGCTTATAATTTCACAGTATGAGTATTGAAGTAAAAACATACTACAGTCAAAAGTCTTTAATCTGGACTCGTCGGGACTTTGGCGATTCCGGATTATCGTTTTTTCTCGATTATAGATCAGTTTAAATCTGGTAACTTGACATGCAGAAATTATAAAATTAAAAATATGAAACCGTAATTTATGAAATAAAGAGCAATTATAATCTAAAGGGTATAAAAATTTATTAAAAAAAAGCTTTATATTTATTTGTTTACTTTATTAAACATTTCTTTCAATGCGTGCATGTTTAAAGCATACGTTAAGCATAGTCGAAATTAGAAAATTGCAACCAGAAAACTATTTGATGTGTACTCGTGATATTTATAATGACGAGGAATTTGATTTAAATCATATCAAAGACGGAATACATCGAGATGAAATACTACGTTTAGTAAGGAATTATAAGCTGAATAAAATAAAAACATCTACCCTGTAGATAAGGATAGTGCTGACAGATCAACTTCCAGTTCATTGCGCGCCGCGACATCCCCCCCCCACACTCACACACACAGAGCAGCGTGAAATTGATAAATATATATCGGAAATTCTGTTTGACATAATGGAAAGTGCACACCTTGCTTTGGTGCGGTATAAGGAGGAATTAACTGCAGATTGTAAATAAAATTGCAAAATATAAACAGTTCACTAGTGGACACTAAATATTGCATTTTACAACTGCGTTCATGTGATGTACGAGGCGTATTTGGAAAATAAGTACCGTTTTGGAAAAAAAAAAAATAGTAAAGCAATTTTTTCGAATCCAATTTTATTTTTACATAAAAAAACATGTCTTAAACTATTTTTCAACATGGTTTTCGCCAATGATCAAACACTTGTCATAGCGGGTGACCAGTTTTTGTATACCATCATTAAAGAAACTTCCCGCCAGTTTCGATAATCACGACTCCACAGCTTTTTCGTGTCATCGTCAGATCCAAAGCGCTTACCACCAAGCTCGCGCTTCATGTGCAGGAACAAGTGATAGTCGGACTGCGCCAAGTCTGGGCTGTACGGCGGGTGATCGAACTGCTCCCAATGAAACTGTCGAATTAACGATTGAGTGACACCAGCAGTATGGGGCCAAGCATTGTCATGGAGCAACACAATTCCTTTACTGAGCATTCCTCTTTGTTTGTTTTGAATGGCAACGCCTTAGTTTTGTTAAAGTCTCACACATATCGTGACGCATTAACGGTTTCACCTCTGGGAAGAAATTCAGTAAGCAAAACGCCTTTCCTATCCCAGAAGACAGTGCACATGATTTTTTGTGATGACATTGTCACTTTGAACTTTTGTTTTTTCGGAGAATGAGTGTGTCTCCACTCCATCGATTGTTGTTGCGATTTTGGTGTGAAATGACACACCCAAATTTCATCACCTGTCACAATTTGGTTTAAAAAGTTTTCTCCCTCATCACTGTACCGTGTGAGAAATGTCAGGGCACTACCAAGTCGCTTTGTTTTGTGAGCATTTTTGGAACCCATCGGGAACACAGTTTGCGATAATTCAAGCGGTCAGACACGATTTCGAACAAAACAGTACATGAAATTTGTGGAAATGCCTCTGAAAGTGTTGTCATTGTGAAGCATCTGTTCTCATGAATTGCTTCATCAACTTTCCTTACCAAATCATCGGTGACAACAGAAGGCCGACCACTCCGAGCCTCGGCGTGGACATTTGTTCGACCTGCATTAAACATTCTTACCCACTTTCTCACCATTCCATCACTTATCGCGTATTCACTGTAAACTTCTGTCACTTGACGATAAATTTCGGCCGGTTAACATTTCTTGCGTTTAAAAATTTAATCACGGCACGAATCTCACAGTCAGCGGCAGAACTAATTGTCTTAAACATTTTGAATGTGCACAGCAAACTGAAAACACAACATAGAGCAACCAAAATGGTGACAATTGAAAGTCTGAACAAAAGAAAGACTAGTGCTCATGCGCGGGACGCCTACCACAGCGCTGCAACGGCGCTAGAATGAAACGGTACTTAGTTTCCGAATACGCTACATATTTACTCCATGACTTAGTATGTTGTGTGCCATTGAAGTGTACTAGTATATTTCCTATGTTGCTAAGAGCATAAGAATACCCAGCAATTACTGAGCGTTGTTTATGCGTTTGAGAGCTTATTTAGTCTTATTAACGATTTCAGCCATCTAAACACATGAAAAGAGCCGGAAACATGATTTATGTAGGCTTCTCAAAGACTGATGGATTTTTCAAATAGTAGCGAGCAGTGGTTTAATTTTGAAATTGTCACTTGCATTTGCACAAAACAACAGTGTGAGATTGTATGTCCATTGGCTTGCGACTTGGCAGTGCCTTCTCCTCTGCTGTAATAATGAGTTCGCTCAGCAGGTTTTTCCAGAAGAGACCAATTTCATCACAATTAAAAACCTGTTGTGACAAATAACCTTCAGAACTCGGAAGTGGTGTTGACTTCCAGTGATGAATTAGATTTCTCAAAATCTAATTCATCACTGGATGAGAATGATAGACACTCAGTTGCAATGTCTGCACTTTAACTGTCCTGATTCGAATTCGCCAGTTTTTTTTAGAATAATTTAATTCTTAATGAAAGTTCATAGATCTTTGCCTTTTTAATTTGTTCATCATCCAACAAAATTCGGTGTTTCGGATCTACATGTATTGAACGCAGCAAGATCTCATTGTCTAGCAAACCAGTTTCTCTTTTCTTCATTGAAGAAATTATTCCTTCTGCACTAAACCCTCCATTTCAGAAAGGACAAACTTCACATTCTTCCATTCTCGGGTCCCGTCAATTCTTCAGATTGCAGCTTTTTTGTGACTGTATACAGAGTAGAAAGAAGAGTTTCCAATTCTGAACGATCGTTCCACAATCTTTCTCTTAGTGGAACAATAGGGTTATCTACATCTTCTAAAAAAGTTCTTAATTCTAACAACCTCTTTATCATAAAAAATGTACTTCCTTATCGCATTGCTTCATCAATAATTGCTCCTATTCTTGCTCGCATCCTAAGAATGGCATCAAGTTTAGAAGTTCTTGCAGCTATTGCTGCTTACCTAAATTTACCTGTGAAATTTGTAACTAAATGAATCAGTGTAATCACTAATGGCAAATATTACATCCATCCTCCTCCTTTATATTTATTTATTAATAAAATAGAAAATAACTATTTATGTATTTAGTCCATAAATAAAAATAATAACTCGGTTAACATTAAGTTTCTTCAATTCATTTAAATTGCTTTTCAAATTCAAATTGTTCAACAAAAACTGGAGTTGGAGTAGACCTGTTTTTAGTGACTCAGCTCCAATTCTTTTTGCTTTCATTAGCTATAGTAGCTCTGTTAGGTGAATGACGACTGAACACAGACTGATAGCCAAGATGCAGGCAAGATCCTACATGTGACATCACCATGTCTCCATATTACTCTTTCCTGCAAAACATCACTTGTTAAGGGAGTCATTTTTTTAGCATATTAGTTTGTTTATTATGCAAATCACTCATTATAGTTAGTGCTTGTTAAGTGAGGTTTGATTATAATCGCTTAAGAGAGGTGATTGCCATAAAAAGCATCACTTTATATTGATGTACACTCTTTTGCAAAAAAAATCGAAGCACCATGAAGGAAGTGGTTGTTTTTGATGAAATTGAATATGTATATAGTTCATACACAGATAATAAAATGATTAAAAAATTAAGGTCATAGTATCTGTTCACGGTTCACAATCACTCATTGAGTGTTCAGATTAGTAGTTGGTTGAACTGCCCGTGGCGGCAGTGCATGCTTGAATTCGTAGAGGCAAAAAGTAGAGGTTCCTAATGTCACCCTACAACACATTCTGCCAAGCATTCATCAGTTGTTCCTCCAGATCTACGATTTGTGATGCCTGAATCTGCCACCCTACTATGTCCCAGACATGCTTGATTGGTGAAAGGTCTGGTGACCTTGCTGGCCAAGGAAGAGTATCAGCCACACGGACACATTCCGTGGTATGCGATATATGGTATATTTGAGATATGCGAGCGGTATGTGGCCTGGCACTATTTTGTTGGAAAATGGCCCCAGGATGACGGAACAGAATGGGATATTGTATAGTGAGCAGTAATTGATAGCTATTCAGTTTTTGCATTACAGTTAAACTGGAAGAAAAGACTTCAATCTTAAAACTTCTGGTTACAGTTTAACATATTGAAGAATTTTCTGGTTAAAGTGTTAAAAAGTTTAAAATATGCCAGATTTGTAAGATTAGAAAAAAATCACAGTCTGCTCTATGCAAATTTCAATTTAACACAAAACAATTTTAAGCTAAGCATTCAGTTTAACAGAGACTGCTAGTTTATAGCCTTCCTAAAGTTAAAGGTATACAGCATAAAGCTGTTCAAAATGGGAAAGCAAGTAGTAATAAAAAAAAATCGTATTATGTTATTTTACTGTTAATGAATGCCATGAGGAAGTTTGTGCATAATTTAATAAAGAAAATATGTAACTGTTCAAGACATAATTGCATTCATTTCACTAGATCACTTGTGTGCAAAATTTTCAGCCTATATTTTCCTCAAGTGACAGTATTTTTGTTTTAAGAGGACATGAAATCTGTTAACCCACTAACCACCAAAACTACAAGAAATGTTTCTTTTCTCATGAAAATAATAACAAATATTAAATTAAGCGTTTATAACAAATTTACATTGAAAATTAAAAATATGCTCTTACTTGTGGAAAACGCGAGTGTTGCGTTTGCGCAACGTCAGCGGAATAAGACTACGGATGTTTAGTGAGTAGGATTGTACTCGTGTGATGTTTCTTTTGAGTGGAGCGTAGGATTACTTTTTAGCTGTATAACGGTTTATAAATCTACAAATCACTTTACTTGTAATTAATTTAATATTAAAATATACATTGTATTTCTTTTACAAATACAGATTATTTCAATGTGAAAGATTCAAGCATGAAAAAGCTTGATTACAATCATGATGTAAAGCTACATTACATTACTTTGCATCTATTAACAGTCTGGCTATGGTACTCTTTACAACAAAGTCTTTTGTTATCAACGGACTTTACGATAAAATGTCTACCATCTCCATGCAATGGTTTTTGAATGCTGAATTTACTAGGTTCTTCCTGTTGCTGATCTATTTCTGGCTAATTCTACACTCTCAATATGAGTTTACAAAAGGAATAATGCATTCTCGTGTCTGAAATCTAAAAGAGTATATTTCCAGTAGTAAAAAGTGGTGATAAGTTTAGATACGGTCTCACCTTATATAATTATCAATATTCTCAATTTGACTATTGTCAGCAAATGCAAATTCTGCTTCATATTCCTGTACTGCAAACATGATATCGATTCTCGTACAACAGGAATAGAAATGTCCTTATGAAAAGACCAACACATTTTTTCTTGAGGTAAAGAATGATATCCTGTAAGCAATAATATTCCAATAAATCTTCTCATATAGGCTTCAGGTGCAATAAATTCTGGGCTTTTTTTTTTTTTTTTTTTTTTTTTTTTTTTTTTTTTTTTTTCTGCTGAGCATATATATTTGTCTGTTCAACAAGAAGAGAATAAATGTATAACCCCCCCAAAAAAAATCGAAAATCTGCGCACTAGTTTTACCTTGTATTTTGTCTTTTATAATTTCTCTTCTATCTCTCTCTTCATGTTCTTCCTGAGACTAACAGTTCCTTTTTTATCCACTGCAAGATTTTCAGTCTTCTGCTTTTTAAACTTTTTAGTATGACTATAGCTGCTTTTAGAAAGCTGATACTTACTTCTTACGTGAATCTCAACTTCCCCAGCAGTATCATTTAGTAAAATATTATTATCATTATTTAAAACATTGCCATTCCTTTCTTCTTTTTCACTATCTTCTGCAATTTCTGGGGGAACAACAACAATATCAGTTTCATTCTGGTCATTATTAAAATTATCATCATCTTCATCAAAAAATCTTTGAAAGACTTCTTTTAATGTAAGATACCTCGTTCTAGTCATTTTTAAATAACCAGAACATGAACCAGAGCATCGAAAGGAATGAGTGAAAAAGGAGATTGACTACCCGTTTCCTGCTGACGTTGCGTCAGCGCAACACCTGTTTTCCCTTCCTTCCCAACACAAATATAAACATCTGACTGATGTAATGTTCTGATAAACGGTGACCTTGACTAAAAATAGATCACTCATAAAGACGGCGATTCTTTCGTTAAATCTTTTCAGCAAAAATACCAGGCAAATATATTTTTTACAGAAATAATCTTCAGAATATTCCCTACATAAAATCATCTGCTGTTATAAAATATCTTAGATAGTTATATTTTTATACCCATTTAATTTGACTGTTGTGTCAACACAACACCAGCGGCTAATGGGTTAACTGAAAACAAAAATGCATCAAAAAGTTTCTTTCAAGTTGTTAATTAAATCTATAAAAATTTTATGCTCATTTTTAAGCTTAATGATATTATTAAGAATAACCTAATTATTAATTTGTGTTTTTAGATCACCTATGGATAGATACAGTATGAGAAACAGAAGTAGTGTAGTAAATGGAGTAAGTATTTTACATATTTCTCATCAGTAATTTTGTATATATATATATGTGTTAACTCTCTGACCAGCAAGGATGTATGTATATGATCTAGAATATTCTTTTTGACATTTTAAAGAAAATTTGACATATTTGTGCATATATATATTTAGATAATGAAACATGTGCATATGTGTATAAAGCTAAATTATTATGTATAACAGTGAATTAATAAATTTAAATATTTGGATTTTGTAAACTAATTAATGAATGAACTGAAGGGAAATCAGTCAGCTTCATCTTTATGGAATCGTTTTCTATAAAGGTAATCAGATGAAACGAAAATAAGACTATTAGGGCAAAATTTTGAATTTTTCACACTGCATGTTTTTCTTTTTTAAGTATAAATATACTAATTTCAAGGCTGAAGATGTAGTATTGAAGTAGACTAGAATAAGAATCATGTATCAAAGTTTTCTAATGTGACATATTACTTGGATGTTCAACTTTTCCTTAAAGAACATAAAAAATACAGAGAAAATATTTATGTCTATATGAATGCATGCCTTTTTATATGACTACCTTAAATTAAATTTTCTCTATTTCTTGTGTGTGTATTTTGTCTTTCATCTGTAACCCCTCTTTCTCATTCATTTCATTGATTTTTGTTATCTCTGTGATGTTGTTTTGTGATCAATGTATTCAGTGTTTTTTATGTATAAGATGATTTATTTTTCTGTTAGCTGTATATAATAGTCTTTTCCTCTCTTAGAGTTTCTTTCTTTTTTTTTTTTTTTTTTTTTTTTTTTTTTGTAAGTAAGCCCAAAGGGCATTAGCCCAGAAGGGCTATTAATTTCGTTTTGGCATTCTGCGGTGTATCACTTTTGAAATTGTTGCCACCAAATATTATAGCCTTGCATTATATTTAAAGAAAATGAATAATGAAGAACCTGCATAAATGTATGTATGTTTCTCACACTGTGAGAAAACAACAGTACCTAGAGCCATCAAATTTTGAATAATGTAAAATTTTAACAAATTTTTTATTAACAAACTCAAAGATTTCAAATCAAGAAATAACAACACTGTGCGAAAAAAGCATTTTTATCTTCAACACATGGGACTGTGTACCAGAAATTCTAGAAAGAGTACATCTCTTAAAATTATTTTGGGATATTGCTGTTGAATTGAAATTTTTGGTTTAAATGCGAGGAACATGATATTTAATAAATAAAAGATAACACATAAAACGTTAAAAAAAAGCCCCTTTGGGTGTAATATAAAATATGAACACATTTTAAAAATTTTCTGTACACAGTCAGTGTTTTAATAAACGTTAAAAAAAAAGGCCCCTTTGGGTGCAATACAAAATATGAAAACTTTTTTTTTTTTAATTTTCTGTACACAGCCAGTTTTAATAAAATAGGTAAAAATATTGAGCATTGTGCTTTTATGTTGAATTTTTATTCTTACCAAGTGGGTTAACTGTGTGGGGTTTTTTTATGCTTTCTTTTTGTAAGGAGTGGCTAGATATTGTTGCATGCGTACGGGTTCATTACGAAATGAATGCACAAGACCGATGTAAAATCAACAAAATTTGTTATTATCACAACAAAAATGCTTAAATTCCTAAAATATTCATGCAGTATTACAATATCTCACTGTAGTTATCTTTTAACTACTCAAACCTTCAAGATAACTTAATTCAAAACAGCTAGAGAAAGCTAATGCGCGAATTCGCTACAGTCAACAAGAGCAGTTTTCTAAACAAATTCTTAAAACAACAAACAAAACTAACTCCAATAACAACTACGAATTGAGAGGTTTTCCTCCTTTTATAAGATTTTAAATCGCGCGCAAGAATTTTCTGGAACTTTATCGAAATCAAAAAGAGATATTTATTTCTTTAATGTTAAATGCACGCGCTCTTGTATTTTCAAAATTCCGGCTTAGCTTTCTTTTAATATTCGTAACGCGCTGCACTGCACGGGAAATAAAACCATTTAATTTACGATTCAACTAACATAAGCTATTTAAATACCAAATCCGTAACACTGCCCCCTTCCCAAGGACTACACGTCCCAAGCAGTACAATACCTGGACAGGAAGCCAAACTTACAATGTGGCATAAATGCAATAATAAACAACATGAACAATAAATGCAATAAATAAAACAAATCAAATGCTACCAAAAAAAAAACAAATGCTAAATACACATTTAGAAACAAAAAGACCATGGTCTTACACTATTTACAATTACTTATACTACGTACTATGGCCATAGTAATGAACTAACCTGTCGTAATGAACGACTTTAGGCTTAGAGTTCGAAGACTTACGGATCCGAACCACGTCGTCATTCAGCCTGTTTAGAACCGTGTACGGACCATCCCAAGCTGACTGTAGTTTCGGACAAAGTCCTTTCCGTCGAGTCGGATTCCACAACCACACCTTGTCTCCTTCATGCAATTGATGTTCAGTAGCTCTTGTGTCGTAGCGGGTCTTCATCTTCTCCGTTGCCAATTTGACTCGCTCTCGTGCAAAGTTGTGCATCACTTCAAACCGTTCCTGAAAATCTTGAATATATTCCTCAGGCGATGAAGGAGCATCCGGAGGGCGACCAAACAAGAGATCACAAGGCAGACGAAGGTCACGACCGAAAAGCATCTGTGATGGGGAATAGCCGGTAGTCTCGTGGACAGCACTGCGGTAAGCCAGTAAAAACAGTGGTAATTTCTTGTCCCAATCCTGTTGGTTTCTGGAAACCACTAATTGAGAGGTTATTAAGGATGGTTCCATTGAACCTCTCTACCATGCCGTCCGACTGGGGATGTAATGGCGTCGTTTGGGTTTTGTCAATGCTGAGTAGTTTGCAGAGTTCTTTGATTACTGCCGACGTAAAATTCCTTCCCTGATCGGAATGTAACTGAAGAGGACTTCCGAACCTGGAAATCCAGTGCTGTACCATTACCTCAGCTATTGTGACAGCCTTTTGATGAGGAATAGGGTACACTTCAGGTCACTTGGTGAAGTAATCAATGACAATGCGTATGTATTTGTTGCCATCAGCAGTGTGTGGCAGAGGTCCCAAGATGTGAAAGGCGATACGTTCAAAAGGCGCCCCTACGTTGTAACGTTGCAGCTTGTCTCAGCTGCGTCTCTTCAGTCCTTTCCGACCTGCACAGGCATCGCAAGATCAGCACCACTTTTGCAAGTCATCCTTTGCATTATTCCAGTAAAAGTGCTCACAAACTCTCTGCAAGGTCTTCATTATTCCAAAGTGACCTCCTGTGGGGCTGTCATGTGTAGTTCTTTAAGGACATTAGGAATCCGGGATCTTGGAAGTATCATTTGCCATCGGAACATCTTCCCATCATCCGATTCGAATTTACAGTATAAGGCACCATTTCAAATGTGAAGTGAATCCCAGAGTGCCCAGTATTGTTTTGTTGTAGGACTACAGATAGAAATGTCCTGACAGGTAGGTTTTCTGTTTGATGAATCCAATACAAATCAGTTATGAGTTTAATGTCATGGTCTTCCAGCTGGTCTTTCCTGACTTCATCATCACTCCACGGGTCTCGATCAGCCAATGTTGATGTTGTAATTTGTCTTGCAACCGGAGTCAGCAGCTCGTATGTCGCTTCCACCCTGGAACAATATCGGCAGCTTTCTGGGCAAGGTCGTCTAGACAGGGCTTCAGCGTTCCCGTGTGACGATCCCTTATGACGACGGATAGTGATTTCATATTCTTGGAGTCTCTGTATCCACCTGGCTATTTGACCCTCAGGATTCTTGAAATTAAAAAGCCAGGCTAATGAGTCATGGTCCGTGCGGAGGAGTTATTTTCTCCCGTATAGATAATGATGGAAATGTTCTACAGCTTTGACTATGGCGAGCAACTCTTTCCTGGTGACACAGTAATTCCTCTCCGGTTTAGCCAGGCACTTGCTCCAGTACGCCACTACATGTTCTTGGCCGTCTATTTCTTAGGACAAAACAGCACCGACACTTTTATTGCTCGCTCCTGTGTCGAGAATAAATGGTCGGTCGAGCTGAGGATACATCAGGATCGGAGCGGGACTCAGCTTCAGATTGGCTTCTTTCAGTTTCTGAAGCACCTTCCTAAGATTTTCTAAATGTTCTTCAAAACTCTTTCCAACGATGATGATGTCCAGGTACATCAGGCGGGCTTCGTAGGAAAGGCAAAACAGTCTCCATAAGACATTCGAATGTTGCCGGTGCATTACACAGTCCAAACGGCATCACCTTGAATTGCCAAAGCCCTTGTCCCGTAGTAAATGCTGTCTTTTCTCGGTCTTCAGGATGTATTTCTACCTGCCAATACCCACTCTTTAATCAAGTGTTGAGAACCACTTGCTTCCAGAAAGAGTGTCTAGAATGTTGTCAATTCTAGGAAGAGGGTAATTGTCTTTTTTCGTAACCTCATTCAACCGGCGATAGTCGACGCAAAATCTTGTTGAGCCGTCCTTCTTTCTGACTAGGACGATGGGAGATGTCCATGCACTTGCTGAAGTCTCAATGACATCGCCTTCTTCCATATCTTTTAACAGTGTTCACACCTCTTCCTGTTTAGCAAACAGTAGACGTCTTGGATGTTGCTTGATCGGGGGATGATCACCGGTATCTATTCTATGTTGTGTCAAACTAGTTCGACTCATGTCAGAAGACGAGCGGGAGAAAACAACTTGAAGATCTTTAATGACGATATCAGCAGCATTCCTCTCTTAACGTTTAATTGCGCATTCTGCAATAACTCCGATGTAATGCTCTCTGAGGGCACGGATTCTTGGACGTTACTCTTTCTTTCAACGGTGGTTACTGGAGTACACACTGCAACCACTTCACCTTTCTTAATAATTCTCCCCTTCTCAGTTACATTGTCGACTCTCACCAGGATAACCGTTTTGGATAGGTCGATGAGTGTTGAGGCTACTATTACTCCTTTTGGGGTATTACAGTTATTGGGATATTCTATGATGCCATAGCGGAACATTTCTTTT